AGTGTTAGTGGTGTTAGTGAAGGGGTATTTCGATCCTTTGTACTTGTTGAGAATGTTGATGTGTACTGTTATGTTAATTCGAGTGCCTCTTACTTAAAGAAGGGCACTTAAGTCTTTTCCAATAAGTTAATAATATAATAACAGGTCTAGCCGAATCTAGGGATAACTTTTTTTTCTAATTCGAACCAGCCTTTCTCTCTTTCCTCTCTTTTCTCTCATCTTCTTTCCTCTCCTACTTCTTGCTGTTTACTTTACAGTCAACGAACAAGACAGAATTCTAGGGCAGGTCAAACTTCAACAGTATCAAACAGCCATCCGGTGAGAAGGTGATAGTATGACCATGTTTAACCAATTGACCAACTGATATTAAATTTGTTGCAAGTCTAGGAACAAATAATGTCTGTGGTAACTTGAAACGGGAAGAGCAAGAGGTAGATAAGGTGAGATCATTACAGCCTACAATGTCAAGTTTCTCACCATTGGCTGTAACAATGTGTTTGCTAGAAAGGAGAGGATAAGATGATTGACCGCATGTAGCACCCATCATATATGATTGGAAGAACCAGAATTTATTATCCAGAAACGACTAGGAGAAGCACAATAGTAGGCACACTTACCAGACAAGTCGAAAGTAGAAAATGCAGAGGATATTGCCAAGGACATCAACTGTCGAATCTTTTCTTCAATCATGACATTTGTAATGTCATTCTTGGTCTGAGATGTGGAGGATGATGTATCATCTGATCCCTCAACCGAAGTATGATATGCCTTGTGACGACTCTTTTACCCACCAGATTGGTTTCCTTAGGTGGTCTTTTGGGGCATTTAGTAATAATGTGACTAAATTTCTTGCAGTCTTCCTACAATGGGATATCACATGACCAAATTCATTGCACTCGTAACACGACACCCTGGATAAGTCCCTTGGTTTGGACTTACCTGCTGCTAGAAATACAACCTTACTGTATCATTTGTGGCATTCACGACTGACTGAGTGGTTATCCTAGTTTCCTGTCTGAGTAATTCACCCAAAATAGTATCAAGTGATGGTACAATGTCCCGACATAAAATGTTTGATCTTATTACCTCATACTCAGGTTGGAGATGCATAAAAAAGTGCATTACTTTCCTTCTGTCAAAATGTTCCTTCAAATTTTCGATGCAACAAGCAAAGGGCATTCCACCCATATGAATAAGCTCATACTCTTTCCAAAGATTGATGAACCCTGCATAGTATTCTTGAATTTTCCTTTCACCTTGGCAAGACAATATCTCAGTTTCAATACGATACTGCTGTGAGATTTTGGACTGCTGATAAACCTTTTCTAGATATTCATACGTCTCCTTGGCTGTCCGGAGACCCCTTATAGGGATAGCAACACCAATATTGACTGAACTCAGAATCCAGGATGCAATCTGGGCATTATTAATCTTCCAAGTCTATAGTCCTTTTGCATCAGTCACTTCAGGCACAGTGGTAGATCCATCAATATAGCCCCATAACCCCTTGCCTTCAACATAAAACTGAAAATGGAATTGCCATAAGGCATAGTTAGTTCCATCAAACTTAATAGGAAGAACATCACCCCTTTCAGATGTCATAGTAAGGGAAAAGATGAAGAAAATAATCTCTAACAGGCTGAAAACAGCAGGGAAATATGTTTACAGTCCAAAAACGGAAGGTTCACAGACAAACTGAACAAAGGGAGGGATCAAAACCCAAGAAAATCAACTCCAATTTTCACCAAATTTCTAGGGCTGTAGGAACAGACTAGGGTGACACCAGATCTAAATTTTTAGAGCAAACTGATCAGTTATATGAAAGAAAACCCTAAAAAACTGACTTGAGTGGCATCCCAGTCCAGAAAATCCAGATTTCTTGTCTTGATTAGAACTGTCCAAGAAAGAGAGATATGCCAGTCTAAATAGGTTGAGAAATAAAGTCAACTTGATGCTGAACATAAAAGAACAAAGTCTGAGATCAAAGCTAAGCAGAACGAATCCTCTTTGATACCATGTCAGTGCAGTTTGTACAAGAGAGAAACACAGCAGATTTGGGGTGTGTCTAATGTATCAACCACACCAAGAAGAGGCTATTTATATTAAAGAATGTAAAATGGCACTTCCGTCCTTATAAAACAATATGTACAAGGTGAAGAGAATAGAAAAAGAATGGTACAACAAGAAAGAAAAATTACAATTCAGCCCTCACTGTCTCTACAGAGGGAAGATAAAAACAAAACGAAAATGAAAGGGATCGTTTGTGTTATTCATTCTTATGGAAGGGAAAGCCTTGCATGGCTATGGCCTGATTCATCCAACAATGGTGAGAGAGGGAATGTGTCTGATCTTGTGCCAATCCACTCCATCTGCTCCAAGTCCGACCTTGAATTCATTTGGCATATATCGTACCTCCAATTCTTGGAGGGCAGTCAGGTGTTGCAGACCATCTGGCAGCATCTTGAGTTGTATGCATCCATCAATTTCTAAATGTCTAAGACTCAGCATTGCTCCTTCTTCCACCCTCCACTCCTCTAGTATATCCAAGTATCTAAGTTCCAAGAACTGGAGTTGAGGAAAGCCTCTTCTACTGCATACCATTTTAGCTCCTATATAAGATTCCTTTAACAGTTTCAGGATCCTTAAGTTGGGTAGCTTTTCTAGTGTTGTTATCAAGTCTTGATCTAATTTGGAGTATCTCAGGGATAGTTTGGTAAGGTTGGGTGGAAAATCTTGAGGGTGGGGTAGTTCCTCAATGAGTCCATTCAAATAGAGCTTATGAAGATGAAAATTATGTGGAAAAGACATCAAGGAAGGGATTTTGTTTTTGTGCCCTCCACCTAACCACAAAGATCGAAGTTCCTTGAGGTGTTGGGGCCTTGGATGTCTGCCAATTTTTCCATAATCAACGTATAGATGTCTCAGTTGGCGCATGTTCCAAATTGCATTGGGTAGATGAATGATCCTAGTGTATCTTAGATCAAGCGTTTGTAGATTACAAAGATTGCATATTGATGACGGAAGAGTTGGTATGTTAGTCAATCTTAAGCTCAAGTACCTCAGATGTATCAGTTCTCCTACTTCCTTTGGTAATCTTGAAATGATTACATTCTCCAAATCCATCACCTTTAGCAATTTGAGACCTCCGAAAACGATTCCCCATTGTTGCTTTTCAAGGCTTTCTGTGAAGCACAGGAATGACCGTAGGGACCTTGTGGAAGTGTTTTGAGCACTGTAATCATCAGCTTTCCGATGTATGGCAAGGCGACGAACAATGCTTGGTGATGCCTTGCCATCGATGTCAAAAAATTTGTCTCTCTTTGCTTCAGAAATAGCAAAGTTTCGGAGAAGGTCATGGACGCAGCATGCTCTAATTCCTCCATCTGACCTCCTTTCCGCCACTTGGATCATGCTTCTGTGTACCAGTTCCTCTAAGTAGTCTTCTGCAATGTCTTCTAGTGTCTCTTCCCCTCTCTGCTGTATGAATCCCTCTGCAATCCACAATTGAATCAGTTTGCTTGCACGGATCTCCAAGTCCGGGGGAAAGAGTCCACAATACAGGAAGCAAGACTTCAAGTAATATGGCAAATCATGATAACTCAAGGCTAATATCTCAGAACACTGCTTCAATTCTTCTGTCAAATGCCAGTTTGCACTCTCAAGCACTTTCGACCATGCACTGGGTGTCCTGTCCTTCCGTGACAAAAGACCGCCTAACACCACGATGGCAAGAGGTAAGCCACTGCATTTCTCCACTATCTGCTTCCCCAGTTTCTCTAGCTCTGGAGGGCAACTAAGTGGCATGTTAATCGTGTGCTCATCAAATTCAAGGAATACCTTCTTCAGGAACAGTTGCCAACTCTCTTCATTGTTCAAGAGAGGCAATTCATAGGGACTGCCAGGTGGGTTGGCATGCAAAGCTACATCTCTGTTACGGGTGGTAAGCAATATCTTGCTTCCTTTCTCCCCTTCAGGTAAGGCAACTTTCAATTTCTCCCAATCTTCTATAGTCCATAGATCATCAACTACAATCAAGTACCTCTTCTGTTTCAAGTGATCAGATAGCATTGTTCCCAAGTCTTCTTCATTCATCTTCTCCACATTCTCCTTGTCATCTTTACTGAGAACCATAATACATTTTATAACACCCTGCAATAGCTCTCTCATTCGGTATTCTTGAGAAACATAAATCCAAGCATGGCAATTGAAATGCTCTTTAATGGTTTTGCTGTTAAAAGCTTTCTTAGCGAGAGTTGTCTTACCAAGACCACCCATCCCAACAACGGAGACCACAGTACGCCGAGCATTTCCTTCTGTCAAGAGCTTCACAACCGTTTTTTTATGATCTTTGAGTCCCACCACCATGTCAAAGTCCTCTACAAGGGCCGGCCGCTTCTCTTTCCACAGTAAAAGATCTTCATTCAAGGAACCTGAAGACTCTCCTGGTTGAATGTATTCCAAGCCATACTTGGCTTTGCTAGCTGAGACCTTCTCAACCCTTCTGTTGATTTCCTCGATTTGCTTCCCGACCTTGTGAATGGCAGTAAGCTGATTTGCACAGAGAAGGTACCTTCTAATGAAGCCAATAAGCCCCAAATTCTTTTGTCGTTGCTGCTCCACTTTGAGGACAAAGGCATCTATGATGTCCTCAGCATCGTAAGCCAAATCCCTTATTTGGCTTACCCAAACCTTCACTCTTTCGTATTTCTTCCTCTTCTGATCAGCATCTCTGAGGAAGGAACGGATCCATTCTAGCTCGTCATGGAGTGATCGGATTTGCTCATCCACCCCAAGAAGAAGATTTGCCTCTCGTGTTAGTAGAGAACTCAAGTTCTCTAAGAAGAAGGTGACTGCCCCTTCAGCCATTCTGGTGACCTCTTATTTTCTCAAGACATTCGAATTATATAGGAACATGCATTCTCTATCAATTAATCTCCCTGGGCTTCTCAATAATCATGGGAAATGTCCACACTTTTTTCCTGGTTGTTGCTCTATGCGAGAGGTCAAGAGGAGAATCTTTTAGTTTGGTTGTTATTACTTTCCAGCCACGCTTCTTTAGGGAAGGAAAATTACTTGGAAGCCTCTGATTTATTGTTTGTTATACACGGCGGCTGGAGCTGGTAAATGGGTTCAAATGGTTGTCCACATCATCTGTCTTCCACATAGCAAAACAATAAAACGGATTCAGGCTTTTGAGCAAAACAAATTTGTTCAAGTGAGGAGCTAGATGCCTGCTTGCCAAGCGTTGTTTATCAACTAATCTCTCTGGATTTCTCAATATCCATTGAAAATGACCACGCCTTTTCCAGCTTGTTACTCTATGCCAGAAGTCAATAGGAGAATCTTTTAATTTGGCTGCTAAACTTTCCAGCCACGCTTCCTTGGTGAAGGAAAATGGCTTGGAAGCCTCTGATTTATATTATTATACACCATACACGGCAGCTAGAGCTGATATTGAAATGGGTTGTCCATGTCAACATCATCTAATTTCTTGGTGGCATGCATAAAAGCGCAATGTCTGTGTTTTCCACATGGCAAAACAATAAAGTAAGTTCAGGCCTTTGAGGCAAAACAAATTTTGTTTCAAGTGAGGAACCAGATGCCTGCTTAAATGATTACTTCAACTGCGAATCTCTCCATACTTCGATTCGCAATCGCTTTACTAATGTTTCTAAAATTTACAGAGCTGATTTGGCCTATGGGTCTGTTTGGTTCATTATTGGAATCAGAATCATAATGGTCTATTCCCATAGTCTGTTTGGTGCAAACAAGAATTGGAATCAGCTAGAATGGGATATCATTCCTAAAGAACGGGGAGGGAATGGCCATTCTTTAAAATGGGAGAATGCCATTCCACCAAGAGTGAGAATGGGTTTCCAATTCCGCTCAACCAAACAGTAGGAATCGGATATTCATGCGAACCAAAGGGGCCCTCAGTTTGTATCTATCAAATAGAGAGTGTTAAAAGATCTTGGGTGGTCAATGTGTATGGTTTTGTTTTTTCAAAACAAAGAAAAAAAAAACACTTGTCGCATCAGAAAAACCAGTCTTTCCTGACATGTCAAGTTGTTATAAATAGTTATATATTATTAAAAAAAATCATATACATCACAGCAACAATTATACAACGGAAGACTCGATATAACTATAAGGGCCATGTCACGAGAGAGAAGCATATGTATAGCCATAAAACAAGTGCAGGGGGACTTCTTCATTGGATTGAAATCATAACTAATCATAATTATGATGTGGTTTCGTTCCACTCTATCAAAAAAAAAATCATAGTTAAATTATAACTATAATCAATAGATAAATTTATTTACTAATAATAGTTTAGTTTGAGAATTAACCCACTAATCCAATCTTCATTTTGGGCCCTCGATCCAACCCATAAACATGTGAATGTGATCCATCCAAGCAAGGAGTAGAATGTCCTTCCAGCATTCTTTCTTCTTCTCTCTTCCTGTGAATGAATTTGGCATTTGGCAAAAATAAAATTGATCAGAGGCATGTCATCAACTGAGGTTCGATCTTCGATGCGATTAGAACCAGAACCAAAAAGAAAAGACAGTCAGCAGCTCAAGATCCTGTTGTCGTTGCCTGTTTGGAGTGTAGGGTTCAAGAATAGAAGCGAAGTCATGATTGCGAGAGCGCTCACATGGAAAAGCCCCATGTGATACCAGGGGGGAGGCCGGAGGCCCCACTGGCATCTTTTTTTTTTTTTTTTTTTTTTTTTGAGTGATGATCACGCGGGGTCACTGTAATCTACACGCGTTCTGCTTTTGTTGGCTGTACCAAAAAAAATTGAAATGATAGCGATGATTGAGCCTGAGCCTGAGAGTCTTTTCCTCTGCACAAACCGTGGAAGCCCTAGCGCCTCTTGACAATTTTAATAAAATATTGTGTCTCAATTTTCGAGCCAATCAGTTGTCAACACGTTAGGGATCACACAGTTTACTGGATGTGAGCTCGTGCTGGATCTTCATCATTGTTCAAGAAAATAGATTTCATGTGAAACTCCTCGGACCAATCAGAGCTCGGCACGACGGCTCACACATCACACCATGGGTTCATCCCGCGTGATCATTCACTCAAAAACATTTTTTTTTTGTACCTTTCCAACCCTTCTGGCCAATAAGAGCTAAACAAGAGGGAATCCCACTATGGGAGCGTTCTCATCCGATCATCCTCTTCGTGACTGAAGGAAACTCTCACTCTGCATCTTCTACTCCTCTCTCTCTCTCTCTCTCTCTCCGGCAAAAACCTTAATTGCACGAACAGCACGAGCTGCCGCGGAAAAAGGCGAACCACAGTTCCGTTTTTTGCTCGCTCTGGAAAATAGGCAAGAAGACAAGGATGATCTGTTTACTTCCCTGATTTGCGATCTCTGTGAGTCGATTCTTTTGTTATCTTCTGTTTTAAATAATGTCTTCTTTACTTCTTTACATTTCTTACAATGGTTCCAACTTTACCCGTGCATCCCGAACTATATTGACAACAAATATCTGCTGTACAAGGAAAAGCTGCAACCACAGCTTAAATTTCTTAAATGAATCTCATCTGCTTAACCGCTTACCCTCTTCATGGATGCAATTACACCCCAACCAAATGCTAAGTGATCCTTTTTTTCTTCCATTAATGTGAAAGAAGGAGATTACTGGAACCCGTACTGCCATTTAATACTTCCAGTATAAGAACTGTCAATTAGTGGTCATAAATTACATGAAGTTATTGAAAATAATCTTGTTTTCTCAGAAGACGAAATTTCTGCTGGCTATTACAAGAACCCAATTGTCTCTTGAGATATACTAACTTTTTCTTCTTCTTCTTCTTGCCCTCGAATGAATCTATAGAAAGCTGGAAAGTCCACGTTGTTACAAGATAAACAAGATAATAGATTAACAATAAAGACCATCTAAAATTTATACTTATTTGATTGTAGTGTTACCCATCTTTTCTTTCTTTTTTTACTTTTTTTTTGTGGTGATGGTACACTGCATTCTGCACAGATACTAATGATAAGGACAATATATTGACAATCTTGGTGTAAAAGGGATTCCTTCTACATAGGAGAGGGTTCTCCCCCAATTCCTTACCCTCTTATTAAATATAATATATTATATTAATGAAAGAAAACAAAGAAAAAGAATGGCGGTAAAAAACAAAATTAAATATGTTTTCAGAACCTCCACTTACTCAACTTCGTTTATAAACTAGATTTTCTAATTCTTATTAAACCAGCTTCCCAACAAGGAAAAAAATTTAAAAAGTAATATGTACTAATATTTCATAAAAATGAACAAGTGACAAATAACAGTTAATTGAGACTGCCATTAACTAGCAGGTAACATAGTGAACCTCCAAATCCTCAAACATAATTATTGAGGCAATTGTAACACCTTCTTTGTGTCTGTCTATCTCTGTAACTTATCTATTTATGTACTGACCATAGAGTTTGAACATATATCATATAACAAAAGACATGAATTTTTGGTCCCCTTTTAACTTAAATAGTTGACTTCAGAACTGGATTCCCGAAAGTCGACATTGTACAAAATTAGTAATCTTTCCTAATGGCAATACTATGTTCCAATACATATATTCCATTTGTCAATAAAGGTTGGAACTTGACAACTCAAAGCATTATTAGGCTGAAAACAAAATGATGTCAGACAAAATTGTTACACAAATATTATATGCATTGGAGACACAAAGAAAGTTAAATGCCATTATTGATTAAGAAACCATGATAATCTTGTTGTTGTTTTTGATGGTGCTTTTACTGAAAAATGGCACTTAAAATGAGCTTATATCCATTTTTTGTAGAAGATTACATGATATGGATTTCATTGTAGTGACTATTTTCAGGTGTGTGAAGAGCATCTAAAAGCTTTATTTGGATCCTGCAAGATCCATAACTTAAGGTCCCTTTTCCAATTGTAAAGCTACTGAGAATTACTCTTTCCCTGTTCTTGTGGTAGAAAGAAGCAATGGTGTAAATGGGAAGAACTAGAAGAGAACTTGGGGACATTATGTAACTATCTGTTTGAAATGTTTCTGGCCTACTCTCTCTCTCTCTCTCTGTCTCAAATGTTTCTATCCTGTTCTTCACCTTTATATGCACAAGCTTCATTTATAGTTGTGGTGTTCAATCTAGAATTGCAGTTACTGGCATGGCACTGGCTGCTGCTTAAAGGCTTGTAATGAAATATTTAGGCGAAAGGGATAAGTTGGTAGATTGTTCTACTTCTGGTTTTAGAATACAATCTTGATTGAAGCAATGCTGCCAATGTAATTCAGTAATCTCTTCTATACTCCACAGGCAATGGAAAACACTAGTCAGAGGATGAATTGGATTTCACAGCCACAGGAAGACAATGAATCCATCTACGACATGGAAGAATTTGAAATTGAAGTTGATGGTTTAGATGAGGAATCTAGCGAAGAAATAGATACACATGATGAAGATGAGGATGGAGATGAAATAGAATGCCCTGAAGGACAGGAAAAAAAGAATGAAGTTGATGATGGAAAACCTCGTGTTGGCATGGTTTTTGAGTCTGAAGAGCATGGTTTTCAATATTATTGCAATTATGCAAGAGAGATGGGATTTAAAGTGAGGAAAGGTGGGGTGCGCAAGTCCAAAAAGAACGATGATGTCATTGGTCGTCGGCTATACTGTTCCAAGGAAGGGTTTCGAGAGGAAAGATTCAAAAAACTTGAAGCTTGCAGGAAAAGGCATAATCCCGAAACGAGAACAGGTTGCCAAGCAAAACTGTTGGTAAATAGAGCTGAGAATGGAACATGGGTTGTCTCTATGTTTGTAGAGAAGCATAATCACAAATTTGAGAGTCCGACTAAACTGAAGGGGGGAGGAAAAGTGGAATTTATGATGCAATCCTTTTCTGAAGATGCTAGAGGGAGAAAAGATCTTTGCCCTACAGGGAAAGATGCAAGAAACTACTTGGGCACAAAAAGAACGAAAGATTTTGAAATAGGAGATGTGCAAGCTTTGTTGAATTACTTAAGTGATATGCAGTTGGAAAATCCATATTGCTGGTATGCAGTTCAACTTGACTTAAATGGTCAAATAACCAACTTTATTTGGGCTGATGCTAGGTCAAGGATTGATTATGGCTATTTTGGGGATGTGGTATGTTTTGATACATCTTATGGGACAAGTGCATATTCTATTCCCTTTGTTCCAATTTTTGGTGTTAATCATCATCTACAAACTATACTCTTTGGATGTGTATTAGTGTTGGATGAAACTGAAGATTCTCTGGTGTGGGCATTGGAAACATGGATGAAGGCAATGAAGGGATGTCATCCAAAGGTAATTTTCACAAATGAGGATTCAGCTGTTACAAGTGCAATTGCACATGTGCTACCCCATAGCCATCATCGTTTTTGCTTATGGAATATATTTAGAAATGCCAAGAAGCGCTTGAATCATTTATTTGGATCAGGATGTGATTTTGGCAAAGATTTCTCCTATTGTGTTAGAGGTTGTGAAACAATTGAGGAGTTTGAATTGGGTTGGAAATTCTTACTTACCAAGTATAATCTTCAAGATAATGAATGGATGAAGAGACTATATTTTAAGCGTCAACAATGGGTGCCGGTTTTCTCACGTGATTTATTTTGTGGGGATATGTTGACAACTCAACGCAGTAAAAGAGTAAGGAAGTTTTTCAAAGGACATCTTAGCCGAGATATGTCATTAGAAGACTTTGCCAGGGGTGTTGAAAAGGCAGTCATTAGTTGGCGTAAAAAGGAAACTGAGGTTGATTCTCACATGAATCAAGTACATCCATCTTTTGTAGTACGCATGTATATTGGGGAAGAAGCAGCTAAGATCTACACAGCAGCAGTGTTTTTAGAGTTCCAAAAAGAGTTAATTAGTAGTTTACGCTACATGTGTGAAAAAATTGAAGATGATGGAACCGTGTCCATATACAAGTTGTGGATGTTAGAAAGAAAAAATAGGCAATACATTGTCAAATTTAGTTCACGTAACATCTGTGCAAACTGTAGTTGCCAAAAGTTTGAATCTATGGGTTTTTTATGTAGGCACATCTTGAAGGTATTCTTCGTAACTAATGTTCACTATATTCCACCACAATACATTTTAAATCGGTGGACAAAAGATGCAAAATGTGGAGCAGTAGTCTATCAAAAGGGAGAACAACTGCAAGTGGGCAGCCAGGTGCGCTACAGTAATCTTTGTCATCAAGCAATTAATGTTGCAATCAAGGGAGCTTCATCCAAAGAAATTTATAAAGTTGCAAAGTTCTCTCTACAAAGAGCCCAAAGTGAGGTGGAAAATGCAATGAGAAGGCAGGCCACTGAAAGCATTGGAAGTAAAAAAAATGATAATGTAACAACAGAGAAGGTAGTAGACCCTTTTGCTTTTCTTTTTCATTCTTTTAAGGTTGTAAGCTCCATTTTTAGATTTCACTTCAATAATGAGAATATTAAGTTCCACATAGGGAATTTTGTTTACTGTCATTTTCCGGTTCATCCATGTTCTATTTTGATGATGCCTTTATTACAGGAAACCCATACACGAGGAGAGTGCCTATCTTTGTTACCTTATACATTTTGTCAACAACAACCTCCTAGCAGCATCAATGTTGATCTTAATGACCTTACTCAGGTAAGGGCTTGAATTAATTTTCCTGATTATGTGAATATAAGTAAATAGCTAATAAACTGAATGGGGTGCTATTTATTTTAAAAGCATGATGCATTGGCACCACTAAGCGAACAATCATGAAGAAGTTTTGGAGTTTATAACATCTATTTAGGTATGTAATGTATGGTAAGGATGAAATTCTCTTAATTAGGATTTATCTCTGACTTCTCTGTTGCAATGTTTAATTCATTTGACTCCATACTTTCCTTTTTTTTCTTGGGGATTTAGGTGGGCATTCTTAACACTTCCCTAGCATCAATAAGCTGTAAAAATAAAAAAGGAGCTGAGAGACTAGAACACTACTCATGAAACTTGAGGAAATGAAGTATCCATTGATCTCTTGTTAGATGTGAAGAATCCGCTCCTAACTTTCTCATCATATTATGAGTGTCTTTAAGAAAGGGATGGGAAGGATATAGGAGCTCTAGAAGACTAGAACCAAATGCTGGCCTGCTGATCTGTTTGGCAAAGTTCATTGTGTTTTTCACCCTAAGTTCCTTACAGATTTGTTCCTTACTATTTAAATCTGTACAAGTCCTAAGAGTGTTAATATTAGAGAAGGTGCCCAAGGTTTGGAAGATTGAAGTTTTTCCCCCACAACATTAGTTAAACAAGCCAAAATTATTGATGTACAAAAAGGTCTTGAAAAGCAAAGAGAACTTCTGTGGCGAGCTCATATGTTGCCCCATCATGTTGTTCTCTCGGTGGCAGGTATGATTTTGTATGTAAACATATGAATCATGTAGTCAGATTCTTCAGATAGATATTATTCCATTTCCATATGCAGGGGCCTGAAACTGTCTTGCTTGAAAACAAATCAATATGTGCCTCCATAATAAGAAGGGCTAGAGATCAGAAAGCAAAGTATAAATTTCCCTTCGATCTGGCAATCATTATAACTCATTACAATTGGAAAATTTGCAATGGATTGGGCTAAGACGATCCCATATTTGTCAAGTGGGGAAGTGAGACAAGGTGTCAACATAACATTGTGCCACCTCTACTAAACTATGTTGCCCGGCTATTGCTAATCATAACATGGAACATGTTTCTAGCCTGGTGATAACATTTATTGAAAAAATAATGACAAAATGAACTTTTATAGGGAAATCTGAAAGTTAAAAAGATTGTATGTAATAAACTAATGAAATACAGTATGAAGATTTCTCATTATATTTCATTTAACATTTAGGCCATGTTTGGTTTGAAGGAAAAGGTAGGAAAAGGAAGGGAAATACAGGGAAATTAGTACAAGATTTGTAAAGGTTTCCCTACTTTTCCCTTCCTTTCCCTACATTCTCCTTCAAACCAAACATAGCCTTAATGATGCTAACAAATGCATTTGGGAACAATTGCTTTGAGAAGTCTGAGAAGACCCAGTAAGCTTATAAGACCCACATGTTCTTCTTTTCACCCTCTGTTTATGTGGGAAGTTCAAGTCCAAAAACCCTTGCCAAGTGTCAAGAATATAAGCCCATTTTTGAGCATTCATCAGACTGAATAACAAAAGTTTTTGTTTTTTAGGTGACGAGAGCCATTCATTAAAACTCCGAATATCCTCCAATACACGGTGAAGCATAGGGGTGACATAGATTGGGTGACCAACTGACCATATGGCAAATCTAGATAGGTTAGTTACTTTCTTCCAAACCAAAACATATTTAACGTGACACTTTTCTTTTTTAAATTGCAATCAACAAAAATAGCATTACACTTTCTGAAAATTTAAATGATTACCAAGAACATCTCTACTCAAAATTCCTTCTAACACAGCCAGTGGTAAAGAAGAAGCTTGAAGCTGAGATTGGCACTAGGCATTTGTAAATACCTTCTCACGAGTAGTTGATCAACCCATTTCCTTCCAACATAAATGACTTTCCCTTTCTTTTCTTTCAAACCAAACACAATCTAAGGGAGCCATCAGATTTGTGGGGTCCAGTGACCATTCATTAGCAGCATCTACCATCTAGTAAGAATTTAAGATGATGACATGAAGGAACATGATGCCATAAAACGGGTTAACACTTAACAGCATATCATGGTACACAGCTGAGTTCTGATGTAGAAGCCTGTTGTGTGTTACCATTTTATCACTCCCATCTAGTAAGAATTTAAGATGATGACATGAAGGAACATGATGTCATAAAACGGGTTTACACTTAACAGCATATCATGGTACACAGCTGAGTTCTGATGTAGAAGCCTGTTGTGTGTTACCATTTTATCACTCCCTAAACAGACTAGAGCAATAATATTTAATTTTTCTTTCAAGTGCATCAAACAGAAACACCACACGTGTTGAACATTTTTCTCATTGTACGCATTTTCTTACCCTAGATGCTTGTATCCTCTTTTTCTTAGGGAGACCAGATTTGATTTAGAGAGAAGCTCTGCAAACTAATGGCTATTTCCCGCCGTTTTAAGCTGCAATTCATCAACCTATCATCAATCAGCTAATTCCATTTTCTTTCGTCGTCCACCTGGATATTGGGGTCAGCAAGATGATAGTAAAAGTATCGAATGATAGATGTGCGTGAAAACTGAAAACGTCACATTCCCTATTAAAGTTTGAGGCCAGAACAGATAAAATTCCAGATGACCGAATATTCTTTTATTTTGGCAACCCAGTGTAGGGGCTTCATGCGCTCTCCCCTTCAATGGCGAGTTTCATCCCAACATATCATGTCATGTGACTTAAGCCATTTTCATGGTTTTTTTTTTTTTCCTTTTCTTTTAAATCAAAGAATAAAATGCTTTCAAATGCCTAACGTTACTTAGGCAATGATCCATTTAATTGTAAGTTTGTAACAATGGAGATCAGCCATTTTTCCTGTCCTAAGCTTTCACCATTACCAATGGCAAGTTCTAACCTTTTCATTGACATTATGGTTCTCATTTATCCTCTACAAATTTTCACTGCTAGATAGTTCCAAATTCTTAATCTTTTTAGGCCATGTTTGGGAGTGCTTAAAAATGAGTACTTATTTGGGCGGGAATCACACCGTTAAGCACTTATTAGTGTTTGGAAAATAAGGTCTTATATTTTTAATTGCTCATACAATAAGGGCTTATATTTTAAAAATAAGGGCTTCCCTATATTTTAAGCCAAAATTTCTAGTTTTTTTTTTAATTGCTCATACAATAAACACTTATTCAATTTTTTTCTCCCATAATTGTCCCCAGTGAATTTTAGAATACCATTTATAATCCTTTTACAAAAACAAGTTTACAAAGGCACTTTTATAAATGTAATTTTATGAAAATTACTTTTGCAAAAGCAAAGTATTTTTACAAAAGTACTTTAATGAAAAATTTTTTATAAAAGTAATTTTATGAAAGCACTTCTATAAAAATACTTTTACGAAAGCACTTTCATAAAAGCACTTTAATGAAAGTACTTTTACGAAAGTACTTTTATAAAAACATTTTTACAAAAACACATATAAAAGCACTTTTACAAAAACACTTATAAAATATTTTATGAAAGTGCTTTTATCAAAATACTTTTATGAAAGAACTTTTGTAAAAGTACTTTTATAAAATCACTTGTGTCAAAGTAATTTTATTCATTCACTTTGGATTGGATGCCTTAAAATTTTGAAAAAAAAATGAAGGACAAAAAAGTCACAATTGCTTATTTAAGTGCTTATGGGAATAAAAGACCACTAACAACTAATATAAAATAAGTGCTTATTTTTTAAAATAAACACTTGAAAAAATTGGGTGCCAAATACAAATAAGTGCTTATTCGAATAGGCACTTGTTTTTAAGCACATATTTTTAACATAAGCACTCCCAAACATGGCCTTAGATCATCAATTTGTAGAATCAATAACTCTACACGAGCAACATCGAGTATGGTGACATAAGTGGATGAAGCCATTAACTCATCTTAAATTTTGTTAACTAAAATAGAAATCGGCTTATTGCTTTAATTTTACATGGACAAATCCAGCAGCAATAGTTGATATATTACAAGGAAAAAACGAAACAAAGTGCAAAGAAAGCGCAGATCTCTTCCATCACTCCCACTCCTCCCCATTTTAAGCAATGAAAACAACAAGATAACTTTCAAAACAAATTATTAAAAAGAAACAAAATCATGTTTATTGACACAAAGATCGTCTTAATCACCCTTGAACATAAATTCCCACCTTATGAAATCTAATTTGATTTGTTAGTAGAAGCACTCGGATCAGGCCCAAGGCAGCCTAGCCTCGCAATCTGCTTGGATTGGATCAGACATCAGGAGCCAAGGTGTTCATGGGGCAATAACGTATTCCAGATTCACTGTTCTTTGTGAATACCTCAAAGCTTCCTGCAGTGAAGGTCTGGTTAGGGTTAAATGAGATTAATCTCTGTGAGTGTGAATATGCACAGTACTCTATTTCATATACAGCTGTGTTCTCCAGGAATGATGAAATTGAAACCCCAACTCCTTCACCTGTATCCATCCGTGAAAAGCTTCAGTGTTTGTTACAAATCCAAAAACCAACATATATCTAGGCATCTTGCACTAGAATAGCATTTTTCAATCCGTTGAATGATTGCAAGCCTATGGTGCGTTTATGATCAAAATGTAATTGAAATTGAAATTCAATAAACTCAAGGTTAGAACATAAGGCTCACCGTGTGTGACAAGCAACAAATTTTCAGTAGGAAATTTGTCAGCAAGTGCACGAATAACATTTTCATATCTGAACCTCGCATCCGTCACCGACTCCTCCCATTTTGGCAACTGCAACTCCTCATTCACATCTTATGTTAACACTTAGTACAAAGAACAGTCATGAATAAACACACAGAAAGTGTGTTTGCATCTATCCTTCTACATGCAAGAAATTCATGCTAAAAAACGAAATGAACAAAATGAAGTAAATACCTGTTGGTACACACGCTCTACCGAGTGATCCACTGTCCCGGTCGGTAACATCTCTTCAAGCTCTGGTATGTTAAAACCAAAATCTCCATCTTTAGGAGCAAGAGCAGGTCTTATAGCAGCCTTACCTATGATTTCACACAACCCGTACTCAATTGAGACCTACAAAACGCAAGAAAAGTTTAAGTTCTCAATGGAGCATATTTCAAAATATGTTAGTTAGTGTGGTAAAAGCCATATATAATTGATGTGCAAAGCTGAACTCTGCTAGGCAGGTACCAAGTGCCACATTGTGATGAAGGTCCACAAGTTTTTACAAGATCAGATCATATTCTTCCAACTAAGGATGGTGCAACGCAAAAGTACAATCTCCTAATCTATATCTATATTAGAAAGAGGAAAGAGGGGAGGTGAAGGGCCCTCTCACCACAGAACTCACATGGACCTCCTTCTCCCCTCATTTCTCACACATGTGGTTATTTATTGTTAAATTAAATTATTAAAAGAAACTCTCTCTCTCTCTCTCTCTCTCTCTCTCTCCAATAGTAATGTTCGTAACATATCTCCTCTCCCATTAATTCCATCTCTTCTTAAATATCTCTTAAACCTTTGGCTGTCGCTAATAAAGTAAGAGTACACATTTAATAGATTAGGCTAGGTTAAGGGTCAAACCAAGACCAACCCTAAATATGGACCTAAACTGATGTTAAAATTTAAAACCCAAATTTGTCAACCCGGATAACTACAACTAAGGCTGCCTTGGATTGGGAGTTTGACAAATTTTCAACGCACCAGAACCCTAATCCAAATCCAATGTAGCTGAATTTTTTCCAATTGGGCAACCCTGACTTGCAGCCCAAAGATGACTACAACTTGGGCTGTGAGTTTAACAAATTTCCAATGAGCCTAACCTTGATCCAACCCTGATATAGTTGAAAATTATCAAATGGGCAACCTTGACTTGCAACCCTAAACCCAAAACTAACAAAATTTTTATTTAACCCCATGCATTGCACGGGTTTACTTGCTAGTTATCTGTTACAGAAGGTGCTTGGTGCAGTGGGAAAAAAAATCAGGCTAACAAAAGCATGAGAAATAGATTGTCCTTATCCAGTTCACCCCTCCCAAGAACTTGGAGGAAATATTGGCTCCTACCATCAGACTTAGGAGGACATTTGTGTGATCAAATGCATTTTACACTTAAATTTTAGTATTTAAGGGTTTAGGGCTTAGGGTTTAAGGTTTAAGATTTAGGATCTAGATATAAAAATCAAGAGGTTGTTGGACGCTTTCATCCAACCATGGTAGAGACGGACTAAATCCCAAGACCTTGTATAGTTGGGACTTGGGACCATCATTGGGTAATTTCCCTTTATATACCATCTGCTGCAATAATGGCAACCCATGAGCCAAGCTCCAGCTTGCAGACTTGATCAATTGATAACCAAAGAATTCAGCAGAAACTACAGATAGGGTCAATTTCAAAGCCAGAAATAAGATCCAAGCGTTGAGTCATGAAGAACAACCAATATTTTATTCATAATCAGGTTGCCAATTCTATGCTACCAATAATGTTTCCTAGAAGCTAAAATCACATAAAACCAAATAATGAGTGAACAAGCCGTGTCTTTTGTCTAGCTGCTTGACAAGTGAAACTACACTGCCATCTCCCTCTGCCAATGCACTTCTTCTGGTTGATTGAACTAAAGGAATTACTGATTTTATTTCCAATTAGGACCCTTGAATCAAATTAGAAGATATTAAGATCAGAACGGCATGAGTGAATGCACTGTTCACAGTGCACACATAATATTGTGAAGTAAAACCTTTCATTAAAGATACTTGATGCCTCTACTCAAAGGATATCCTCTTCTCTCTAATGCATCTGACCTCTCCATGAGGAGTATAAGAAAGTTGAATCAAATTCTACTTAGTGTTCTACTAATTCTTCACTATCTGCTAATAATAGTGTGTCTATTCAAATAGCAAAAAATGGGATCATTCAATCTACAGAGAAACACACAGACCCACTAATCAGTATTACGCAGACTCAGTCGACTACCAACAAATGATTCAATTAGGAAGGAAAAAAAAAAAAAATAAGAATGAGATGATGCTGATCTGACCTTGAGCTTAGAGGGATTTATAGCTACTTTTTCGGAGTTCATATTGGTAGGGTCATCCTGAACGGCGCAGAGAGCAGAGACGACCTGCGAAGCGGTTTGGATGCAGCGGAGGAAAGGCGAAACGAACACTCTGTGAATCCGAAAACCAAGCTTGTCACGAAGCTCCCTCCCGGTGCAGAAAGCTCGGACTTTGCCGGCTTCCGTGAGCGGTGGGTCCCAGGGGCGCACCGCCGTGGTGACCCACAAGGGCTCTGCGTTGTCAATCCGGTCACCGTGCCGCATCACGATCACGTTTTGTCGAAATCGTTGATGGGCATGGTCTATGCTTTCCGAGGATTGATGCATCAAAGATGCGGAACGTTTCAGGGCGAGGGCGAGACGGCGAGAGAAAGAGACAGAGAGCGACGCTAGACGAGTATTCATGGGACGACAGCGGATTCATGGAGAGAGAGAGGGACGACGTGTGCCGTGGTTTTTATACGCGGAAAGTTGTGAGATTTCGGTTGTTTCGGATATCAGTCAACTCGGCTGACAAGGAACAAGGTTCGCTCCGACTCGGAATCATTTCGGACTTTTCCAAGTCAATAGTCAATACGACGTGTTAAAGGAACAAACGTGAAGTGGATTTTTGGACGACATGGCTTATCGTGATGGTTCCACTTGGATTACTGGGGCAATCACAATACACCACGTCAGCTCCAGGTCCCACATTTTTGGTCGACATGGCTTATCGTGATTGACCCGTTGTCATCTATTCTCATAGAGCTTCGGACTCGCTCACAGATGGGCTCGTTATGTTCTGGGTTCCTGCTGAGAGAGAAAATGACAGAATTGTGTGTTATGTTAGGACCTAGGACTTTAGCGGAGTACAACTTGGGTCTTGGGGTTCAAGTCGGACCGTGTTAGATCGGGTTGAAGTCAACCCTATTCTAATTTTTTTGTTTTAGGTTGGGTTCGGCTCCGGTTGTTATTAGGGGTGTAAACGGATTGAATTCGAATTGAATCAGATAATATATGTATTTGAATATAAGTAGAAAAATTGATATCTGAATTTAACGTCAATGTTTGAATTCAAGATCTTGTGAATATTTGAATATTCGATTCAATTTGATTTGAATTTTATCGATTAATTATTTTGGATAATTAACAAATATATAAAATAGATATTTTATTTATATAAAATATATAAGTTATTTATATAATTTAATTATTATATCAATAAATTATATAAAATATTTAAATATTTTATATATTTATTATATATAAAAATTACATAATTGATCAAATTTGGATATTTATCGAATCGAAAAAGATCATATCATATTTGTATTTGATTCAATTGCTTAAATGATATAAATAAGATATCCAAATTCAACCAATTATGACATTGGAATTATCCAAATTTGATTCAATTATGAATTCAAAATAGGCTTTTCAAATACAATTGACACTCCTATGAGTTGTCATCAGCTAATTGTCAACAAATTGGCTATAGGGTAGGGCCCAACTAATCTAGATCACCTACCAACAAAATAAGTTTTAACACCCTATCAACATCATCTCACACCACACATCTAATAAATGGTGGATCCCACTCTTATGGTGGAACCTACAATGAGTTGTGTGGTGTCAGATCAAGTGGGTAGGGTATTGGAACGTGTACCAAGTACACCAGGATATGTATAAATGGATATGCATTTACTCATTTACCCCAAAGCATTTTATTTCATTATTCACCTTTCACACCTTAAACTCACTTATTCACCTCATCCTGAGTTGACCTTTCGAGTCCTCACCCCAAGTAATGTTTTAAAAAATGACCTGAAACCGGAATTGTTATAGCTACCGGTTTTTAGGTTTGACGGTTCAACCATTCAGTCCGAATGAATGATCCATTTTAACAAAATATATTAAAAAATAAAAAATAATTAAAATTTAAAAATGGCCAAAATCGTTGAATAGGTTGAACGGTTGACATTTCGACTGTCCAAGTCAATAGTTTATTGACCGATTCAACAATTTTTGGCCAAGGATTGGCTTTGGGATAAAACGGAACTAGTTATCTATATGGTTCCCGAGCCTAACGGTCCGATTGTCTGGATCAATGGCAGTTTGAAAACCATGACCCCAAGGACTCTAACAAAGTGTTTGTAATTGTAACAAGGTGTACACGGGAGATCTTTCTCATTGGTGAATTTAAATGCCATCAAAAAGGTTAGAAGCTAGTTAGGCATTAGTTAAGTATAAAACAATTTTGAGCTCAGCAATGAAAAATTGCTTTTCTAATTTGAGCTTTGGCATTAATGAAGTTGCTCGATAGTCTAATGTTGCATTCTCTGCTTCTTCGATAAGTTGGGAGGAGGTCATGTGGGTCTTGCGACTCATGGTAAGTATAAATGTATTTTTCCTTGGTTATCATTTACTCAAGAAAGTAATACCTTTCTTCGTAGTGGATAAATTACTTTTCCACCTAAGAAGGAAAAACGTTAAAACAACAACGAATAAATAGAATACTTTGCCCCTTATAAAAATAGAATATATGGATAAATTGATAAATTGCGCAACTTATTTGGATATATTTGATGATTAAAAAAACACAAATAAATGCATTTACCTAAAAGGCTAGAAAACCCTTACCCATACAAGTAATTTACTGAAAAATGAACGAGGCCTAAATGATGTAAGTTGTAATATTCCATGTGTCTAAATCTACTCAATTAATCTGAATTTGCTAGCATTTGATAAATGTCTATAATATTTATTTATTATTTAATAATTGTTATTAATAAATTATAAATTTATTCTTAATCTTCACATTTTTGTACCTAAAATAGATTTTAATAATTTTAAATTTCATTCTTTATTGTTTAGAATTATTTAATTGTATCGATCATTCTCTCTCTCCCTCCCTTTGTTTTGTTACCTTATCTCTCCTCTTGCATACTTGCACGAGCCAGTCAACTACTACTTCATTGCATTTTCTATTTGGGAAGGCTAGATCTAGCATTAACTTGATAATACTATAACTGTTGTATTTATGAGTTTTGCAAGAAGAATCAATTTTACAAACCCTGTGTTGCGTGGTGAGGTGATTGAATGGTTCTATTGGCCTGGTAGCATTGTCTAGCTCCTTTGCAATTAAGATGGAAGAGGTGATTGCAGTGACGTTTGTGGTGAAGAAGAAGGTGCTTCTCCACCAACCTTTGGCTCTTTGGTGCATCGTTTTGTAGATACGTGCTACCTTCTCATGGAACCAGTCGATTGCAGCCATTACCGATGCACAGGATTATTTTTCTGATGAACACCTGTATGGCATTTGTAACCCTCTGGCTTTCTTTGTAGTTCTTGGTTATGTCATGGGTTTGTTTGGGGCAAGGTTCGAAGTTTTAATACGTATCGAGTCGTATTGGCTGATATGTATCGTATCGGGGGTGATGCCACCAGAAATTGTCCAGGTCCTTGGAACAGCTCGGTGTCAATCTGCAAAGAAAGGAAGAAGGTTAGAGAGCTCAAGGTGATATCCCAGGCTTGTAACTCCGATGATTAAGTTAGTACACCAAGTTATCTAGGAGGTTAGGTGAGAATTCAATGAAAACAACCTATCCAATTGAATGTTGTTCTTACCTTTATATAGGTTTCGGCTACACGTTTAAGATTACACATGTTGGTCAAGCATGGGGCATCTACCACACCTTGAGACACCTGGTATTTGGCCTTGAACACCTGTGGCACAGTCAGGGCCACCTATTAGGCAACCTGACCATGTGGTGCTCAATGTGGCATGACACGTTACAAATGCATGGTGTAGGCCTAGGGCTCATTGATGTCTTATGTGTCAATTACTTTGCCACATAGGTTGCCAAGTAGTCACTCTTTGGACACATGGGGAGGTTCTATGCTTGCCTCTGACGGTAATCCATCTCAGTAGGAACTACCTTGGACTTCGCTTCAACAGTCATCTCGCTCGTCCATTCGTCAAGGACCTCATGAGAGCTCAGGGCAGTCTGTCCCTCAAGTCGCAATCTCCCAATGAGACGGGCTCACAAATTTGAGGTGACTGATCTCAGCCCAAGATCAAGCTAGGTCTCCGATGTTCGGCTCTTAGGTTGGTCGATAGCTCTCCTATGCATGCCATGTGTCTAGTTGACCAGGGGTCAGTTTTACTCCCATCACTTGTTGCCCCCACTTTTGAACTTGAGGTGGCTCGACTCGAGTAAAGGAAGTCTTTTTGCCAGTAGCGGCTCTCTTTGGATGTTTGGTCATCTATTTGTCTTTAATCCCATTTGGTATGTTTGGAAATGTCGCTTGGGAGGATTTTGACAGATGTGTCGATCTTACACATGGACTTGACATTGTTTATCAATCCAATTCAGATTTCAAAAACACGGTTAATTGAATTAGTCCCTCGAGGAGTCCAACCGTTGGTTACATTTGATCTCAGTCGTCCGTCGTCCGCTTCCTTTGCCTATAAATAGGGACCCCATGGGGTGTCCATTCTCACATTCACCTATGGAATGGTCCCCATTTGAGGTTGGAGAGTCTGTTCCCAAGGTCTGTTTTGTTTCTCATTTCGCACCATCTTTGTCCTTCGGTCCATCTTGGGTGAGTCTTTTTCTCCCAAGTTCTTTTTCCTTTTCATTTTTTCTTTTAGTTGTTTCAAGTCAAGCTCCATCTTTGTCCTTCGGCGCTGCTTCGGTGGGTCATGCACACGGTGTTCCCATTAATATGAGGACTTTTATGGCCTCGTGTGTTATCAAGCACACTCCGACTTCTGCCTTCGTCTTGGGAAGAGATGGAGAACCTTCCTTTTGATGTGATGGAGAGTTGTCTTTTTTAAGTATCTTATGAAGGTAAACTATTTGTTCTTCTCTCTTCTACTCTTATTTCTTCCTCGCCGAGCCCTCTAACTTTATCTCGATGCTTCATATCAATGCCATGGCTCAAGGGGTTTGTGCGAGAGCATGCAACCAACAAGACTGAGTTGATAACTTGGCTTGGAACGAGGAAGGGTATTTGGGCGAGACTAACAAGATAACAGTGGAGAAGTCCTAGGTGGAATCTAACTTGGCGTTTCTTAAGGCTGAATACGAGGCGGTTGTTTCTAATCACCGAGCAGCTATCGTTGAGTCTAGTTTCCAAACCTCCGAGATAGAATGCTAGAAGTCACCCACCAAGCTCAAAGCCAGTCAGGAGAGGAAAGAGGCATTGAAGGCGCAACTCATAAAGATTAGGGAAGAGTCGGGGCCCGCGAGGAGGAAATTGCTGCTTTCAGAGCCTCCCCAGAATTTGAAGCCGAGAATCTCGATTTCGTAGTGCCCTTCGTATGGATGGGCTTCAGGTTATGTAGGCTTCTTGTGGCTACCCTCCTAGATTGTCCCATCAACAAGCTGAAAGTTATGGACGCCTCTAAAGATCTTATTCTAGCGTCTGATGTAGACAACGACACCAAGGGGGAAGG